GGAGATGAGAGCTACCTGAGCCCAAGAATCAGGAAGATCAGGCAGTGAATGAAGATGCCTCAGCCCACTTCTAAAATTATCGATTTACACAAGAAGACACATTAAAATAAGGATCAAAAATATGTCAAAGGCTAGAGATTAGAAGGGAGAAGGAAGAACACATCAGAGACCTCAGCTAAAGGGAGTTGCCAAACGTGAGCACCAAGTTAAGCTCTAAGCCTTAAAGCAATCAGATGAAAAGGAGAGATGCTGAGTTTTATAGTTTTCAGTGTCTGATCAAAGAAGCTTATGGACTGGTTTTCTCCTGACAATAAATTCTTGGAGCTTTCTGTTGAATTGATTTTTATATAAATGACAATATAGACTAAAAGTGGCTTACAGAAGATGTAGAAATGATTTTCTTATAGCCACTTCTTACACTGACCTGCAATAAACACTGAGGGCAGGCTGTTTATTAAATCATAACTCAGTGAAGATATTTCTTTGGGGAGTTTAGCTAATGTGGTCCAGACCCATAACTTTCTAGAGATTTATCTTGACATACAGAGAAAGCTCAGAGGGCCTGGAGGAATGGATGGTTAGTATGATTCAGAGACACTTGCTCTTGAGAACTCATTGTTTTTTGCTGATCCTTAGGCAGAACCTGGAGACTGGTCCTTATGTTGGAAAGCAAAGCAAGCCATATGCTCTGATGTGCAGGTGTCAATGCTGAAGTTTTATCATGAGATAAACATTTCTTCATCTTGAAGGTAGGACTAGCCTGACTTTCCCTGGTTTTAGGCTAAGAATCCCACCTACTCATATAGTTAGGGCCCAATTTACCTTGGTCAAACAATTATTTGTCTAATGATCCCACTGAAGCTTGAAATTTCTCACATAAAATAAGGTTGGGACAAATTTGGCTTGTAAACTTTTAAAGGCAGGTATCTGTTGCAATCATAAAATAACCTACCTAGGGCACATTCAAAGATAGCATTTTAAGCTGTTCTTCCTCTGATAGACTACAAAATTTACTCTCATTTATTTATGTGTCTTTTGCATGGAGACCTCATGAGCACCAGAAATGGTAGAGAAAAAGCCAGTCTGCGTGGTTCACTGGAGAGGCTCAATGACGAGAAATTATAGAAAATAATGTTTTCCTTTGAAATCATGGCCCAGAAGAAAGGGTCAGCATTAAGGGGAGCTTTGTAGCTATTATTTTAGCCCATAAAGATTCTAATGCCTGGGTAGTACTGATTGGTATGAGCCCGATACAGGGTATTGGTTGCTAGGAACATTGTACAGACTCCACTTCTTGGGCATGGATGTGTTGGGTGAGCTGGTCACAGCCCATCAGCAGCCTGCACCCTAGGAGCCAGACTCTGACAATGGCAACTGTCACCAAGGTTCAGAAGAGAGGTGGCACCATAACATCAGTGCTCCACTGTGGAATCTTAAAGGCGATTACTTCTCTACCCAGCCCAGGCGAAGTACCAAATAAGTTGCCAGTGCCTAGCATAAGCAAGTGAAGATTTGGGGAATAAATAAATGGATGAACACCAGTGAGCATAAAGGCAACAGAGAAACTCTGGGGCTGGAGCCAGTGATTCCAGCTTGATAACCATGCTGACAGGAGGTAGGCTGTGACCCCATGACTACAGCTGACTGGGAGAGACAAAATGAAAATGGACTCTGAATTCCCAGCAGTTGAGGACTTTGGGACCCTCGTGATAAAAAAAGGAGAAGGCGAGAGGACCACATGAGTTAGCAGAACCTGTGCACAGCTCAGGTTAGGCAGAGGTGCTCCTGGCTGGAGGACTGGAAGAAGTCAGTGGCACTTTCCCACTCTGCCTTCTCTTCCCAGCAAGACTCCCCAGGGTGCCCTCCTTGTCTTATTTGGAGCATTTCCCTCCTTCCACTCTCATCTATAGATGAAGTGAGCAAAGGGAGGCAAGTGAGACAATTTCCCAGGCTAGTGGCTCTCTCAGAGCTTTAAGAAAATATCATCCCAGAGATTCAAATTTAATTGGTTCAGGGAGGCCACAGTCACTGGCAATCTTTAAAAGCCCCCCTAGGTTATTTCAAAGTGCAGCTGGGGTTAAGAGCCAACATCCTGGTCAAACGTGAAACCCTCCCTCTCCTGGGGCATGTACATGCTCCTTCATGTGAGTAATGTGGGTGCACACGAGCTGTCTCCTTTCCCTCCTTTGAGAAATCTGAAGGCTTACACTCTCCGTTGCACTGTTCACTTCCAAATATTACACAAGATTGCTTATCCAGAATGACTGAGGTCTGACTTCCTTGCCACTAAGGATTTACACAGCATAGCTTCAAAAGAACACGAGTTTACAATGATGTTTTCATGTAATATTTTTACACAGTTGTAAATTATGCTTTAAACTTTTTCATTTTGGGCAAATGATAAATGCCCAAAACGAAAAATAAATTTTCAAAAAGCCAAAATGTGAAAACCCCCAAGTTACCAGTGAGACTGCTCTGGCCTCTCCATTCAGCCATGACCCTAGTGAGCTAGTGCATGAGTCACACCTTCCGGCACCATGCTGGGCATCCATCATCCCTCAATTATTTCAAAGGCTTGAGTATTTTTAAAAATGGTTTAACATTTTAGGAATCTTTTAGAATTCTGTGGTTTGTGAGACTTTGGGGGCTTCTGACTCTCAGAACTTACCTTGTTTTTTAAGGCAAATTAAGGAAGTAGGGAGAAGGCTGTTTCTCCTGAGCCGTGATGAGAAGGGGACACTGATCAAGATACTTCCAGATTATTTTTGTGGGATTATATTCCTTCTGCCTTTATTTTCCCAAAGGAAACAGTCCTCCATCTTCTAGTCCATTAAAGACCTCCCACGAGTGATTGTGTCACCCTTGATGATCTTCCCTAAATGTGTTAAATAGAGGAATGTCAGTGGTAGGATTTCTCAATTAACATTTCCAAGCAATATAACTAAGTTCTAAAAAATATATCCAGAACAAGAAATGTGTGCCCACATTAGAAATTTGAACCAAACTATCCAGGAAGTTCTAGATGGGTTCATTCAAAAGATACAAGATAGAGAAAACATCCATGTCCTTTGTTAGCTAAAGCACGTAATTGCATTCCTTGATGTGATATTTTTGGATGTGAAGGTTTTAGCTCGGAGAATGCAACCTTTCCCAAGTATATTCAGTAAGAGCTGGTAACCCACAGCTGGCCTCTAGGCCCTGCCTGGCTTGCAGTCTCTGCCATCCTTCTCAGCTCCCCACCTGCAGGAACAGCACAGTGACAAGACAGATGAATGAGCTAATGCCCCAGCTAGAACATTCAGTTGTATCATACCAGTTGGTGGGAGAACATTACTCTTAGAGACCATATTATAGTAAATGTAATTCTTCTCTGCTCCCCTTTATAAGAGTGTGAGAGAGACTGCCTCGCTGGCCACTAGACCTCCTTCTCCTTCCTCCTGGGCACACAGGTAGATATGCTAAGTTAATGTGTCTGTGGGATCTGTTCTTGACCAGTGAATTTTAGGCAGACATGGTAAGTGCCCCTTCCAGGCCTCGCTTATTATAACCCTCCCATGCGTGATTCTCGATGCTTTTTCCTCTCATTGGTAAGTCTATCAGCACCATTTTTATAATAGCATTTCCTCACTTCATGTCTCTGCAACCCATTTTGGTAATTCCCACAATATTTCAAACTTTTTTATTACTATTACTATGATATTTGTTACAGTGATCTGTGATCTGTGATGTTACTATTGTAATTGTATTGAGGTAACACGAGTCACATCGATAAAAGATGGTGAACTTAATAAATGTGTGTGTTCTGAGTGTTCCACCAACTGGCCATTTCCCCATCTCTCTCCCTCTCCTTAGGCCTCCGTATTCCCTGAGACACAACAATATTGAAATAGGCCAGTTGATAACCCTACAATGGCCTCTAAGTGTTCAAGTGAAAGGAAGAGTCACACGTCTCTCATATTAAATCAAAAGCTAGAAATGATTAGACTTAATGAGAAAGGCATGTCAAAAGCCAAGACAGGCTGAAAGCTAGGCCTCTGGCATCAAACAGCCAAGCTATGAACGCAAAGGAAGAGCTCTTGAAGGAAGTGAAAAGTGCTCCTCCAGTGAACACAGAAATAATAAAGTAAAACAGCTTTACTGCTGATAAGGAGAAAGTTTTAGTGGTTTGGATAGAAGATCAAACCAGCCACAACATTCCCTTAATCCGAAGCCTAATCCAGAGCAAGGGCCTCACTCTCTTCAATTCTGTGAAGGCTGAGAGAGGCGAGGAAGCTGCAGAAGAGAAGTCTGAAGCTAGCAGAGGGTGGTTCATGAGGTTTAAGGAAAGACGCCATCTCCATAACATACAAGTGCAAGGTAAAGCAGCAAGTGCTGATGTAGAAACTGCAGAAGTTATCCAGAAGATCTAGCTCAGATAATCCATGAACGTGGGTACACTAAACAACAAATTTTTCAGATTTTCAATTTTCAACAGCTTTCTATTGGAAGATGTCATCTAGGACTTTCATAGCTAAAGAGGAGAAGTCAATGCCTGGCTTCAAAGATTCTAAGGACAGGCTGACTCTCCTGTTAGGGGCTAATGCAGCTGGTGACTTTAAGTTGAAGCCAATGGTCATTTAGCATTCTGAAAATCCTGGGGCCCTTAAGAATTATGCTAAATTTACTCTGCCTATGCTTTACAAATGGAAAAACAAAGCCTGGATGACAGTACATCTGTTTATAACATGGTTTACTGAATATTTTAAACCCACTGTTGAGACCTACTACTCAGACAAAAAGATTCCTTTCAAAATATTCCTGCTTGTTCACAATGCACCTGGTCACCCAAGAGTTCTCATGGAGATGTACAACAAGATGAATGTTGTTTTCATGACTACTAACACCACATTCATTCTGTAGCCCATGGATCAAGGAGTAACTTAAACTGGTAAGTCTTATTTTTTAAGAACTACATTTCATAAGGCCACAGCTGCCATAGATAGTGATTCTTCTAATGGATCTGGGCAAAGTCAATTGACAATCTTCTGGAAAGGATTCACCATTCTAGGTGCCATTCAGAACATTTGTGATTAATGGGAAGAGGTCAAAAGAGCAACATGCACAGGAGTTGGGAAGAAGTTGATCCCAGCCCTCATGGAGGACTTTCAAGGGTTCTAGACTTCAGTGGAGGAAGTAACTGCAGATGTGGTAGAAATGTCAAGAGAACTAGAATTTGAAGTGGAGTCTGAAGATGGGACTGAATTGCTGCAATTTCACGGTCAAATTTGAATGGGTAAGGACTTGTTTCTTTTGGACAAGCAAAGAAAGTAGTTTTTTGAGATGGAAACTATTCTTTTTTTTTTTTTAAAGATTTTATTTATTTATTTGAGAAAGAGAGAATGAGAGACAGAGAGCATGAGAGGGAGGAGGGTCAGAGGGAGAAGCAGACTCCCCGCCGAGCAGGGAGCCCGATGCGGGACTCGATCCCAGGACTCCGGGCTCATGACCTGAGCCGAAGGCAGTCGCCTAACCAACTGAGCCACCCAGGCGCCCCGAGATGGAAACTATTCTTGCCGATGGTGCTGTGAAGATGTTAAAATGACAACAGAGGATTTAGAATATCATATAAACTTAGTTGATAAAGCAAGGGCAGAATTTGAGAGGATTGACTCCAATTTTTAAAGAATTTCTACTTTGGGTAAAATGCTATCAAACAGCATCACATACTACAGAGAAACCATTCATGAAAGGAAGAGTCCATTGATGTAGGAAACTTATTTGTCTTATTTAAGAAATTGCCACAGTCACCCCAGCCTTCAGCAACCACGACTCTAATTAGTTAGCAGCCACCAACATGGAGGCCAGACCCTCCACCAGCAAAAAAATTACAGGTTGCTGAAAGTTCAGATGATGGTTAGCATTTTTTAGCAATAAAGTATTTTTTAAGTATATACATTGTTTTTTTAACCATAATGCTATTGCACACTCAACAGACTACAGTAGAGTGTAAACATAACTTTTATATGCACTGGGTAACCAAAAAATTCATTTGACTCACTTTATTGCGATATTTGCTTTATTACAGTGGTCTGGAACCAAATCCACAGTATCTCCAAGGTACGCTTGTATATATATAATACCAGCCTACCAATGCCAACTCCCACCTTTTTCTCTTCCCCGCAGGTAAGTAGATGAATCTGAGAGGAACATTTTTATAGGACCAATCTTGAATCTGCTTTAGTTGACAGTTTAAAAATAAATCATATGCAAACTTGGGGGCTTTGTACTATTTTGTGGGTGTACCTCAAAACCCACTGAAATTTACCAAGGTATTGTGACATTAAGACTGAGAACACTGCCTATATAAAGTAGGTAGCTGTGTCTATGAAAAGACTGGGATGTGAGAAAAAACTGACAGGATGGATTTTACAGCCAGATATGTATCTTTTGTACAAAAAAAGAAATGATAAGTAAAAAAAATAATTTAGAGGCTTCTTCTAGGAATGTCAGCAATATGGTTGTGGTGGTTGTAATGGAGATCTCTAGCTAAATACTCTTGGTTTTGGAGGCTCTCCCAGGTATGGAATGGCACCAACCATGGTCGTCAGTTACTTTAGTGACCCACAGCAGACCATACCTCCTGGAATTGATGCCTTTGGGTCACCCCCTCCCTTGATTCTGGGCTGCCCTGTAACCACTTTAACCAGAAGTGAAACTGTGCCAGTGGCCTGACTGGTTTTTAAAAGGCCTGGAAGTTTCTATTTTTGCTTCTTGAATATCCTCAACTGCCAAATAAGAAGTCTGGCTACACTGCTGAAGGAGCCATGTGGGGAGATTCAGGGTAGAGGACATGGAGAAGGAAAAGACCTGGACTACACGAAGAGAGACACTGAGTCCAAGAGTCCCAGTCTCCAGCCAAGTCCAGACCCCAGCCTCCCTGCCAGCTGAATGCAGCCACACGATGACCACCTGCAAGCTCATAGCAAAAAATTATGAGGAATAAAATGGTGGTTGTTTTAAGCCACTACATTTTGGGGCAGTTTGTACCTAGCAGTAAGTGACCAAAACACCATCACCTCCCCAAACACATCTACAGGCTTAAGCTGGAACCCAGCCCTACCACAGCCTGTGCCCAACTGTCATGGCTGCCAAAACAGCCCTCACTGGCCTCTGCTACCACCGCCAAGGGAGTCAGTGCCCTCTGGACTCCTTCAGCCATCCCATCGGGATGACCCCCTAACTCCATATCCCTGAAATCCCCCCTCTTCCAGGTCCCTTCTCCTGGCTCGGTCAGGCCAACTGGAAGCATTTCTGACAGGAGCACCCCTGCCCTTCCTCCTCATCTGGTCTCCCAAAAGGCATTCATGCCATCTCATCTTTGGAATCCCATCAGAAAAGCTAGTCCAGTGTGTGCTGTGCGTACATGTATAGGGGACTCTTAACTGCAAATGGATCAAGTCTTATTCTAGAACTGTGGCCAGAAAAATGAGTTCCTGGCACGTCCCATTGGAATCTGGAACAGATTTTCCCATAAAAAGCAATATTATAGGTGATTTTAGGTTCTGTGGTACTATTAGAACTATAGTTCAGCTACATTGCTGGTTAAATAGATATTTAGGAGCTGCTCTGGGAACATAATTACCTTTTATAACATTGTCCTAATGAGAAACAAGATCCAAATAACTGCCTTAAGAATGAACCTTTGGAAGCAACCCGTCTGTAAGTTGAAAACTCTCATTCTATATTGAGCACCATTTATATAGTAGATGCTGGGGGGATGGGGGGTTAGGAGGAAAAAATAATATTGTGGCCTCTTCCCCAAAAGTTGCAGTTTCTTTGGGAGGCCTAACAGTGAGAAACAACATCCAGCAAAGTGGCCTATAAGCAATTCCAAACTTGAGTGAGACTGACCAGTCAGTGATTCTATTCTCAAGGCTGCTAAAGCAAGCCCAGAAGTCATCTTGCCTGTTGTTATTTACATCAGCTTCCAGACCCCTGTTTTGAGAGGGCTTGTGGACACCTGCTGTTCAAAATTGCCAATGAGCTGTTCCCTGTTAGCAGGAAAGGAGAGGGCAGCACCTGTATACAGGTGCTTAGGAGGCACCTGCATTCAGCTGGCTATTTAGTAATGACAATAGGAGGGCTCTGGAGCTTGGGAATTCATTATAGGAGGGCAACAGCCTGGTGGCTGGACAGAAACCCAGAGGGTCCTTACCACTGGCCTCATAAAGGGCCACCAAAGAGGCCCCACCACAGTGCTTCTCAACATGTGGTCTGGGGACACCTTTATTGGAATCACGTAGTAGGGGCACTTACTAAAAATGCTGATTCCTCGGCCACAGCCCAGATCTTACAGTGAGGCTTGGGAAGCTACATTATTGATAAACTCCCCAGCTGACTGTTATGCTGATGCAAGTTTGAAATCGCTGTTCTAAATAAAGCCACCCTAGAGATGCAAGAGTGCCACCAAGATACTCAGGAGTATTTTCCCCGGGAAAACTAGGGGGGAGTCTAGACACAGGTCTTAACCCCTTACATGCTCCACTTTGGTAGCCTTGCTAATGCCAGCCAAGTTTTTAGAGGGAAACAAACATGTTCAAATTGCTGGGCATGGAATCAGGGCTTCTGCACACTCTCCCAACACTTTTTGGCTCTATTTACATTCCAGGCACAGCACCGTGCATACACTGCAAACATGTCTAAGGCATCTGGACTGAAACCCAGCATCTGCTGTAAGAAAAATGAGGTTTTCAAGCAGGCCCTCTTTGGAGTGGTATGCTGCCAAGTGAGATAGGGCCTCCAGGTAGACTCCATCACGTGGAAACATAGGAGCAAATTTCCCCAGGACTAGAAAATGTGCTTTGAATAATATGCCAGGACTCATACAGGAACATGTTTCACTCCTTCCTCGGGTTTCTTGCCATCAAGACCATCCTGCTGCCCCAGGACATTTGGGTCCCTTACCATCAACCAGCAGTCACTCAAATGCAAGCACCATAGCATACTGGGCATTGCACTGGTTTTTCATTATTCAGGGTGAAATCATTTTAGAAATGATTTTGATAGTGAGGGGTACATGCCCATATGGCAGGCTAATTTTAAGATAAGAATTGTTATGTCTGGCTCCCAACATTTACCCGCCTCTGCAACCATGTGGGCACCCACACACTTTGTGTCTATCGCCTCTGGGACAGGACGCTGCTGCCCAAGCAAGGACAACAAAGGTGCCAGACTCTCAGCTTCTCCCTTTCAGAAGCTTAGGCCCAGTACATAAACAGAAGATTTGGATCAATATGGAATTTGAGCTATTTCCCATTCCCTCCAGTACCACTCCTTACCCCCACACCCTAGGGAAAGCCACCCAGACTGAAGCAAGAAAGATCCAGTCCAGCTGGGTCACTGCAAGGGTCCCTTCCCCACCACTGGTCAAATCCCAACTGAGTTTGAGAATCTCACTGAACATGGGCATTGTAAAGCCCAGGAACACAAAGCAAATAAGGAAGGGCCTTGAGTAGCCCCGCCATCTTCTTAGGCCTCCAAATATTGTGGGAGTACAGCCAAATATGTCCAGGGGCAGGAAATGGCTAAGCAGCGAACTGTTTGGTTAGGTATCAGGGGTTTGGAGGGGACAGCATATATCGCAGAGAATGTCAACCTGAAGAGATGACAGACTCACTTCTCCCTCCCCCAGGGCCTCAGAACTATAACCACCTGTGACTTGGACACAACCCTGGGAAGGGGGACAGGAAACCTGAACTGACTGAGATTTGGGTTTTGCCACTCACTGGAATGAGGGCTCAAAATGGAAATGAAGCTCAGATAGGTTCAAAAAGGTTGAACACCTTTCTCGCCTGTCTACATTTCTGTGCATTATTACTTGCTTTAGAAAGTTTCCAAATGCCCATAGGTGATGCTAACAAGTAATTGAAGCCAAAATGCTGAGGGTGGAAACGCCTTCAGTCTGAGGCCCCCAAGGGCTCCTTCAGGGCAGAGCCCTAAGCTGCCCATTCGGTTGTTAGAGGAATCCAGAAGAGCCAGGACTGTGCCCTTCAGACTCTGGATGATTCGACATCTGGTGGCACGGCTGATTTTGCTGGACAACTCTGGACGAAATGAATAACTCTTCTAAACCTTCTCCCCATTAGAAAGGGACTCAGAACCTGTCTAATGTGGATATGGAATGGCCTCATCCTACACAAAGTGTGTTTCCATCATTGACTGCAAAATGGCATGAAAGGCCTTTGGAAGTAGAAAACAGTATAAATATGCTCTCAAGTGACTTACTGGAGCCTGATGTGGTAAGCTTGGGATTCCAAAGCTATTCTCCAATTAAAGCCTAGGATTTCCTATTGAAATTCAAGGTTTTGATCAGGACATTCACAATGACTCAAAGATCTAAATATGTACAGTGTCAAACCACATTCTGAGCAGACATGAATGCTTAAGACTCCTCATGTATTTATCAAAAGTATGGCTGGGTTATAGTTTCATGAGATGATTATAAAGTTGTGTATGATGTTTGCATTTTCCTCATTCCCCGTTTTCTTATTCATGTGTTTTGCATTTTCATTCTACAGAATTCATTTGCCCTCCTCCTTATTTACTCCAAAACTTTTCTCCTTCTCGTCCCCTATTTTACTTTTCATCTTCACATTAATTCTGTTCTTCCTCTTTTCCTTCCTTCAACTTCCCCCTATATTTTTTATATTCAAAAGTGTATTTATATCTTCTCCTTCCCTTCACTTTTTGTCCATTCTTAATGCTGTTGCTCCTTAACAGTAATTAGCCTCTATTGAGTACTTAGTAAATGCCATGCTCCCTGCTAGGTGTTTACGTGTATCACGGTACCATATATAGGGGAGGGAAATGAGACTCAGAAATTGAGTAACTTGCCCAAAGTCACACAGGAGGAATGGGGAAGCCAGGGCTCAGATAAAAGCGTCTGCTTCCAGACCCCAGGTCCCCGATGCGTACCTCCTCCTGTTATGCCCCATTCCCCACTGCCCTAACTCCACCTACTTCTGACCTCCTTTACCTGGATTACCCCTGCCTGCAACCCCACCTCCCTCTTCACACCCACCCTCACGCCCCACAACACACACACCTAAGATCTCCCCTTTGCCCAAATCTATCCTATCCCTCCCCCTGTAGAGGGTGTGGCTGTCAGGCATGACATTCTCCTACCTGCTGTCTATCTAGGGAACATGTTCAAAAGCCCCCTTTCAGGCCATTCATTGGGCCAGGGACCTTCCTTTCTTCCCCTGCTGTGACAATTCAGAGCCCATTTTTGCTTCCAACGGTCAGAATTTTTCCACAGTAACATTCTGATGGTTCTTCTCTCTTCTTTGTATAACTCTGTGTATGTATGTCGTTGAGTGCACCAGATTCAATTTTTTCCAAAAGCTTTCTTTGAAAAAAAAAATAACCACTTTGATCCTAAGTCTATCAAAACTGAATGGCCTCAGTGGGCCCTTTGTACTATTTGCTCCTGGTCCTTTCATTCTCCTGCTCTCTGAGATAGCACACAACTCCACCATCCTCACCCTCAGTTGATGAACTTGCTTCCTAAGTGACCGAGCAAAAGGAAACAAGCAGAATCGAATTTCTGAGACTTTCATCACCACATCCCCCCACCTCCTTCTGGCTCACATAACCCTCCCTCCCACTGGTCACTGTGGAGGAGGCATGCATGCCCTGGGTAAGCTGACCCCTTCACCGGGCACTTCATCCCATTTTCCCCACCTCCTCAAGAGACATTGCTCCTCCAAATATCCTCTTCTCACCTGAGAAGGGGGAGCTCTATCTTCCGCCTCTGTACCAGATTGGTTCCAACACTTAAAAATATACTATTACAGCTTCCTTCTTTAAAAAGCAAAAAAAAAGCTCTTAACTCCACTTCCCCTCTCTAGATAGTGTCCCTTTGTTTCCTTATCTTTGAGGGGAAACTCCTCCAAAGACCTATTTTTTATGGTCTGCAATCTCTCCACCCTCACCCCTTAACACCATAGAGTCATCCAGTCAGGCTTGTTTCTACCCATAATTCCATCAAAATTACTTCACCTTCAGACAACACAAATGACCTCACATTGTTCAGTCCACTGGACGGTGTTCAGGAGCACGTGACACCACAGGTTGCTCTCTTTTGCACACGACACATTACTGGCTTGGTTTCCAACATGCCACAGGCTCTGGTGTTCCTCCTTCTTTCTAGTTGGTTCTGATCAGATTTCCCCTATCTCCATAATTTCTAAACCACTGTTTTTCAACATTTAGCGGCGAAAGAACCACCTGGAGGTTTTGTAAAAAGGAAAAAAAAAAAAAAACCTCATTATGAAGGACCCCCCCACCCCCGCTCCAAGTTTCTGATTCAGTAGGTATGGGCTGGCCCAAGAATTTGTATATCTATTAAGATCTCAGGTGATGTTGATGTTGATCTGTGGATCAGTTTTGAGGGGCAGTGCCTAAATTTTTCAATTATTATTCACTTCAGTGATGATATTATGCACTTTCACAGTTTCAATATTTCTACATGCTAAAAACTACTAAATTTATATCTCCAGGCAGGTCCTCTGCCCTGACACCAGAGTCCCATATCAAACTGCCTAACTTACCTCCTGATTGGGTTGGCTAATAAGCAACTCAGCGTTAGTGCATTCAACCTGAGCTCCTCAGAGTCCCTCCCAGACCCTGCCCCTTCCATGGTTCTCTCCTCAGTCAGTGGTAACTTCAGCCTTCTCATTGCTTAAGTCAAAAACCTGGGAGTCATTCAGTATTTCTCTTTACTTTTACACTCCACTTCAATCCTTCAAATAACCATACTTTAAAGTAAAAATATATCTGGAATTCAGTCAGTTCTCACCATCTCTAATGTTGCCACCTTGGTCCAAGCAAGCATGATTTCTTTATTGGATTATTATAATAATTTCTTAAGAGGTCTTCCCTACCACATTCTTTACAATCTATTTTTTTTAAATTAATTTATTTGACAGAGAGAGACACAGCGAGAGAGGGAACACAAGAAGGGGGAGTGGGAGAGGGAGACGCAGGCTTCCCACTGAGCAGGGAGCCCGATGTGGGGCTCGATCCCAGGACCCTGGGATCATGACCTGAGCCGAAGGCAGACGCTTAACAACCGAGCCACCCAGGTGCCCCAACAGTCTTCTTTTTTTGAGAGAGAGAGTGCACCCATGCAAGTGGCAGGGGACTGGGGGCGGGGAGGCAGAGAGAGGGAGAGAGCTTCTTAAGCAGGTTCCACGCTCAGCTTGGAGCCAATATGGGGCTCGATCTGAGGACCCTGAGATCATGACCTGAGCCGAGATCAAGAGTCAGATGCTTAACCAACTGAGCCACCCAGGTGCCCCTACAATCTATTCTTAATAAAGCCATTAGAATGATCTGGCTGGCCCCAAGCCCTTTGTCTCCAGTAAAGCATCCAATGGTGCTCCTGGGATGAGGGGAGGTGCTTCCTGGTGCCACCACTGCTGGAACATTTCTATGGCCTGGCTTACGCTTTTTGAAACTCCATATAGTTTTTTGTGTGTGTGATTTTCTTAAATTTATAGCAAGTGACTGTTAGATGAGTAATATAGTAGGTATAAATAACAAATTCTGTTGTGAAAGGATCAGCAAAGCATAATTCCTATGTCATAGTGGTTGTACTTAGAAACACTTTAGGTTAATCTTGAAGTGAAATGTCTTTACTATCATAGAATTTGACCTTGGGCCTAGTAGTTAAGAGTGTGTGCTCGAAAGACAGACTGGAGTGTTCATATCTTTGCTCTCATGTAGAGAGCAAAATGGAGTCTCTCATGTCAAGGGGAGCCTGTGTCAAGCAATGATGAGAGTAGTTAAGTACCCCCACTAGGAGATCTCGCCCAGACCAACGTCAGCTGACTCCCCAGAACTGATACTGAGTAGACCCAAAGGAGGTCTACAGAGACCGAAAACTGATGAAATCCCTTTAAAAAGGGAAGGATTTGCGCAGGAAATTGTCAGACTCTTCAGACCTGACCCGTCTATGTCTGACCATTCAAAAAAGGCAGCTGCCGCTGAAGGCTCTGCCTGATGGATCTCTGAACAGAACCGAGAGCCTTTGCTGCTGGAATAGAAGAAGCAGTGTAGAGAGCTGACCCCGACCGGGCTGAGGCCTTATCTCAACTGCGCGCCTACAGACTGACTTCGAGTTTGGTTCGCTCACTTCCTGCGCCTTCTGTTGTCTTGTTGTGTGGCTTGTCTTCTGTCCTGCTCTGTGTGCTGTGTAAGAAGCCAAGTTTAGTCACACGGTGAAATGTCATTGAGTCTGGAATCCTGAACCTGCTTTATCATTGTGATTTAACTTTGCTTTATGACTGAATAAAGCTCACACTGTGGAAAGACACAACTCGTGTGTGCACCTTCATAGCATGCTCATGACACTCTCCCGTAAGTTACTCTAAGCTAGTTTACTACTGTCTACTGTGCTCGGTTATAGTTATGATGTTCGCTACTGTTTAGCTCATGATCCTGAGAAAGGGAAACTAAAGGGACCCCATGAAAAATTGTTTTCACTCCTTTTCCTGCATCCTTTCTTGTGAGGACCTGCACCCTCACCTTGCGCACACCTTATAGAACAGATACTGTCCGTCCTCCTGATAAAGGTGAAGGAGTTAATAATTTCTTTGGAGTCTCCCAGCACAATCGATAACATCTAAGGAATGATGACTGGGCAGGGTCATCATGAACATTTTCCAAGACTACTGACTCATCAAGACCCCTGGCTCCAGGGCATAAGTCACTTATGGAGAAGACCTAAACACTCTTTGTTCCTGGCTGCCTGAGAAGACACATGCACTGGACCACAATCCTCAATAAAAACCCCAGGCCCCAAGCAAAGACAAGGCTCACTCTCCTTTCATTTCTGAGTCTTTCAGATGCTCTGTCTGGATTTGCACTCTCTCCAGGTCTTCAATCAACTCTGCTCTCACTTCCTCTCAACTTGTGTTTGATTTCTATCCTGCACGGAGTCAAGAACCCTCTTGGCTGGTCCTGTGGAACCCACTCTGGTCCTCAGACCCAGCCAGCCTGCATCGATACTGCAGAATGACTTGTGCATCATTTTACACTCACCGTTTTGCAGACCGGATTTTTTTGGCCTCCTTTAGTCATAAGGGAGAACTATAGTTGAATTTGGCCATGGAAATGTTAACTCTCTAAAAAGAGGGAGGTTACAGGCCAGAAAATTATTTTTAAATGAATTATTGGGTAGGAAATCAACAGGCTTTCCCTCCCATTTGATACCTTTCCTATACATTTTCAAAGGGAGATGCTTGGTGTTTCACTTCTCTGACAGTTCCTTTTATGGTGGCCTGATTTCTCAATAGGGAAGACCATCCTTCTGAGTGATAGCCTTCACTTTATATCCTAGGCCAAACATTCAAGGAGCCTGTGCAAACATACCTAGCAGACTCATGACAACGGGTGTGCATTCGTAGGCACTGAAAGGAGGGACCAGCTTTCACAGTGGGTGCTGCTGCTTAGGTGATGCATGTGAAAGCGTGAAAACTCACTTGCACGTTAGGGAAAGCCTGACTCCTTCAGAGTCTGGGGGCTTTGATGATACATGGCTAGCACCTCACCTGGGCTCACTTTGTTTCCAGCAAAAGTTTGATTGACACTCACTGCCAACGTGGTTACCAAAACATATGTTTGTTAAACATTCTAAACATTCTATAGTAGTTCAAAGTTACTTTGCCCAGCAATGCCAAATGATGCTGCAGATATGAACAGGAGGACACCAAAAAAGGCTTTGCTCAATCTCATGATTACTGGACCTCTTTACCTTATCACTGTTTTTCAAGAGTGAGCAGAGGTTGCACTGAATTAAGCAGCCAAATTTGGAAAACTCATTTTTCTCTACCTAAAGTATATGTCGCTTCTTTGGTATTTCCAAATCATACTAAGACAATTGCAGGGACCTTGCTGACTGGCTGCTGGGTCAGTGCGAGACCATTCACCCAGTGTTGGGATTAGTAAACAGCTCTCTGGGAAGCAGAGGGCCACGATCCTTCTAGGACCGAGACTTCTTTTTATCGTTGCTTTCCTGGACACCAACATCCACATCCATAACTCTGCCTGAAATGTGTAATGTATATTCTATTCCATATAGACCACCTAGTTAATAATAATATTACTAATAATAATGGCAATACTATGTATTGGCTCCTGACTCTGCCTCAGGCATCATGCCAAGGGCTGGCTTCGTGAGCATGTCACTAGAGCAGTTGTATAGGACCTCATGGTCAGAAGAGTTATGAGGGTTTAATGATCAGCATTGCTTTGAGATTTTTAATAATTTTATTTTTGAATTTTCATTTTGTAAGTCAAGTCCAATGAGACAAAGGAGCATACACCAGGGTCTTAGAGACTCAGCTCAAACATCTTTCTGCTGTCTACCATCTCTCTGTCTCCCCATTGATGGGTTCTAAGCCATGCACTCCCCTGCTCCCTAGTCCCCAGGACCCTGCCCAGCCTCTCCACCTTCATATAGCAACCACTGAGGCCTTTCAACCCCCTAGCATGAAGAGTGGGTCAAGTGCATGTGCCTCATGGCCTCTTGGGAGGGGGCATGGCAGCAACCATCTCCACCCTGGGCTGGCAGCCCCATGAGCATTCATCAGGTGACTGTGCTGGGGAGAATTTCTTGCCCACCCCTGATCCAGTTACTAAA